GTTGCGGGAGGTAAATGGATGCGGAGACTTTATGAAAAAAAGGCTGGGCCTGAAGCATTGGCACCATTTATTGTTTATATATTCCTTGAGCTATGATGCAAACTAAATAGAGTTTTAATTGCATTGTATGTATTGATTTCGTAATAGACGTTTCCTTGGAATAAGCTGTATCTCGGACAATTTCCCACGGCGAGTCAAAAGGAGAAAAATACCCTACTCGTCTTTCTTGGGGCGTCATAGAAAAATATGTTCGGTCCTTAAGTTTAATTGCTACGTTGTTATAATTGGTTTGGAAAAGGCTGTACTAGATTGCAATGGCAATTATGTTCAAGTGAGGCGTGGTTGCATCAGAAGTTGTCGTTTAATTAATAATTAGGTCTGGAGTTAGATACTAAATTTTTGCTTTAAAAGAGGCTTTTGTTTCTTTTCAATAATTTTGGACTTGCTTTGAACCGGATAAGTAGTTAGTGAAAGTAAAGAAAATGCAGGGGGATAACTATGGATAGGTGCGTAGATGAGAGAGAAGATTTTATTGGTGATAACTGATAGAAAGGGATGTTGGAATGAAAGACTGAGTCCAGAGTTGTGTTGTTAGGATTTTCAAGATGTGCCAGATAGTTGGAAACATTACAGATGTTTAGGGCTCGTGTAATGGAATTCAATAGAGTAGGATGAAAGAGAAGGACTTGAACGTGTAAATTCCTTGTGACGAAAATGCGACGTTCTGTGAGGAGCTTTTGTCATGACATTTGTATTGCAAAATTATACCGAATTTATAACTCCAAAAGTGATGACAAACGTATTTCTGTCTTCGAGGCTGCTTTTTAATGGATGAATGAAGTAAAAACATGCGTGAGCGTTCAGTTTCCTGATTTAGCGATTCAGAAAAATGGCTTTTGGCATTGACTGATGGTGTGCAACTATCTCGGCGTTGTGATCCTGTTTTCCGAAGTATTATAAGAAGACTGTTCGGAACTGATATTTAGCGTAATGAAGTAAACCGCTCCGCTAACGAGCAATATCGAACTGTGTTAAGTATTGTACAAGTGACTAGTGTTAAGGACAGGTTTCATAACTTCATTGCAGTCTGATTCTAGGAACGTTATCCTTCAGCGTTGGGTAAGTTTGTTTTCAGCTTCGGAATTCCGTAGTACTTACTGCTCATGTAAGTACTTTTCCTCTCATCCTAGCATGAAGTGATGAATATGTAAAACTAGAAATTTTTTTTTTTTTTTTTTTTTTTTTTTTTTTTTTTGCTGAGATTAGGATAAAGTTGTATTTGTATGTTTATTTGAACCTTAATATGTTTTTTGTGGTGCTTAGGAAAATGTATAAAAAAATTAATATTTCATACCTAGGATTATGTGTTTATTTAGGATTATTTTTCGTCCGCAACAGATACAGCCAAAGAATTGTAAATTGTATATGTTAAACAAACCTTGGGTAAGTGAATTCCGTTTGTATTTGTGCTTAATTGTCAAAATGTTCATTAGGGAGTCAGATTAAAACTTTACAATTTATCAAATTTTTGTATGTGATTATTCTGCTCCTAAAATCTCTTACACAACAATGCTTAACTGCCAACGTGGAAGAAATAATTATGTTGTAAAACTTCAAGTTATTGACCAAAAATTACCTTCTATGTTAAGATTAAAATTATGTTTGCAGCTAGGAGACAAAAATTAATGTCTGTTTATACTGAAGACTCACTGGAGAAATGCAAAGATGTATTTGAAGGCTTAGTTTGTTTAAAGGAAAAGTATAAAATCCAGTTAAAAACAAGAGACAAAATCAGTAATTCATCTTCCAAGAAAAATACCAACTATACGAGATAAAGTGACGAATGAGCTAACAAGAGTTAATAAATTTAAATATCACTGAGAAAGTATGAGAACCAACTGTAATGGGTAAGTTCAATAGTCACTGTTGTCAAACCTAACAAAATAAAAATATGTATATATCCTAGAGTTTTAAATAAAGCAACAATAGGAGAACGTTATCCTATGTTAACCGTAAACGAAACTGTAACTAGAATGCTAAAATCAAAAATATTTTCTGACTTAGATGCTTATAATGCTTTTTTGGCCAATCCATCTTGACAAAGAAAGAAAGTAGTAATTTGTGTGCATTCAGAACTTTTAGCAGATACAAATTTGAAAGACTATCACTCAGCATATGTTCGGCTCAAGAAAGTTGTCAAGAAAATCAAGCTTCCGAATTTTATCAAAGTAAATCAAACCAAATAAAAGAAGGTCTAGAAGGCGTTGAATGTATTATAGACGATATCTTAATATGTGTATTTAAGGCAAAGGAAAAGGCTTACAACTTAAAAATACACTCTAAAGTACGAAAAAATAATCTGAAGTTCAGTAAGCGTAAAATAAAAGTTAGCCATATGAATTATAGAAGGCATAATTTAAGTGAAGATGGGTTAAAACTTGACCGTTCTAAAGAGATCTAAAGATCTTTTTAGCAATTGATAAAATGCCACAACCTGAAGATGTGCTTTCTTTCCAAAGATTTTTAGCAATGATCTTTTACTATTATTACTGCATCATTAAGGCTGCTATTACACATCCGTTTGTTTCGGAAGAGCAACTGTTTGGAACATTTTTTCTGCTTTGTCACAGCAGCCAATCACCACGGATCACTTTGGGGTTAACATGCAAAGGGAAAACTGGTTCTCCATTACAAACAAGCTGATAATATTCGAAGCTGATAGCTGATTGGTTGAAAACGAAGAACTTACAATTTGTTCCTAAAAGAAGGAAAAAAATCACGCGTGTTCCTTTCAATAGTAAACCAAGCAGAAAAATTGTCCGAAACAATTGTTCGCATGTAACAAATGCATGTGTGATATGGATTTAAGAGGGTTACTTGAGAAAAATATTCTCTGGCATCAGACTGAAAGAAAGCGTTGAAACATCAAAAAGCTTAAATTTAAAGGACTGATTGCAAAAGCACCGATATTAAAATTCTATGACATTGCTAAGATAACATTCTTTCTGTAGATGCAAGTTCTAAAGAATTAGGCACTGTTTTAGTGCAAGAAAATCAGCCAATTGCTTATGCTTTCAGTGCTCTGAATAAGAATCAGAAAATTATTTTAACAGAAAAAGAGCTTTCAGCTATTACTTTTGAATGCTCTAAATTTCATCAATATATATGTAAGATAGAAAATATATAAATCAGCTATAAATAATTTAATTTATTCATAGCTTCTTAATTCCTTATATTTAATTTGGGTATTTCTTCTCTCTATTCTAAAAATGACAACATTTCTGGACTGCGCAATTTCTAGGTTAATCTATGCCACTAAGCTTGCGTAACGCTGATGACGTAGTTAATTGGGAACCTAAACTCTGAGAACTAAAACGTTTCCAATTCAAACCAGAACCCTTCTCTTAATAGTTTGCCATACTGGATAAATGCGTACTTTTAGCTTCACTTTGTCTGTTGCTTGGACGTCGCTGTGTTCTCTTCGCAACAGTATTAAAAAATATAAATGTTCTTGAAAAAGCACGATTAGAGTGACAGATTATTCGTGGCTACAATTGTGAGTTTAAATAAAAGTGGAATTTAATGCTACTCGACTCGACTTCTTTTTCTTCAGTATGGGTCGACGCTGTAAGCATCAATCACTGCTGTCAACATTTTTGTTTTCTTCTTGTTCAGTTAATTCCTTGAGCTCATCATTAGAAAGACTAGCCGCTGCTTCTTGAATTATTTCTTCGACATCTTCCACATTTACCCCTTCAAAATATGTCTGTACAATACCGCACCAAACAAGAAATACAAGTACACTCTTTCGGATATGTATTTGAAACCTATCGCTGCATAATATTTCGGGGAATCCCCGTATGCTGCGAGCGATTTCGTGGAATCCCCGGGTTGAAATAAAAGAGCGCTAAACCTAAACAGCGCTAAATGAAACAGCGTTAAGCGGGGTCTTACTGTACATACGTACGTACAGACATAACGAAAAAAATATCTTCTGAATCTATTTTAAATCCATTTCACAGTCCGTTTTGGAAAAAAAAAAAAAAAAAGTCCTTTATTTTGAACGTACGTACAGATATCACGCAAAAACATCGTTCAAATGGCTTGGAGAGGTCAAAATGAATATTTTCGTTGAAATATGATTTGCGAAAATTTTCGCAATCACAATACTTCCTTTACTTCGTACAAGGAAGCACGAAAGGGTAATCAAAATGAAATTCAAACGCAACAAATAATAAAAAGAGAATTACTTATTTAAGGTATAAAGGTAAATTCAGCTCTTTTAAAGAATCAGTTAATTGTATGGTTTTGGAAATATCAATTACGACAGCCAGAAGAACATTATTAATAATAGATTAAAAGCTTGGAAGTCCAAGAAAAGAGACATTAAGAAAGATTAGGACATTAAAAGATTAAGACATAAGGACAGAGACATTAAGAAAAGATAAAGGTTAAAAATGCGATATAATTTAGGCATTACAAAAGGAAGTAAAATAGGCAAAACATACACATATTTTACTGAGTTGAATAAATACTTTCAATATCATTCTGTTGCCTTTATTTTTAGTTTAAATTAGATTTGATTTTATAATGCCTATATAACATATTCTTGGTACTCTGATATATTCTTTATTATTTTTGTCATGGAATTTTCACTTTCATTAGCAATTTTCATTGTTTGTCAGCATTTGAGATTATTTAGTTATCTAGATATTTTGTATGCAACTTTCCAGAGTTACGTTAGATTCTGAGTACTTCTTAGAGCATTGCATTTTTGCTTAATATTGTTATTATAGGGCTGAGGGGTTTCTATTTGAGACATTTAATAATATCAAGCTCTATTTCATGTTTACTGATTACACATGGAAGCGGCAGGCTAAAAATTCAGATATAATACAAAGACTGAACTTAACATTTTTAATAGCAGTATTTGATTAATGAGAAAACAACGATATTACTTTTACTGTAAATAAAAAATAGTTAGAATAAAAATCATAGAATCACAGTAATACAAGTTTTATTAAAAATATTTCCACATCATTTTACAAGAATTAGATTTTAGTAGCTCCAACAAACATTCATTCACATTAAAATTATTTGACATGAAGCAATTACATGCTATTTTTTCTAATTACTGCTGATTGAGCAAGTTCCGTTTCAATGAAATGTGAGACAATTGGGTTTGAGGTCACTTTTTCCACAAAAGCTCTTAATTTGGAATGACTTTCAAGCAGCTTTGGCTGGCGAATTTGTAAACCTGCGAGCATTAAAGCCACACCTAAATCACACCAGGTAAGCTGTGAAGAAAATCAAAAAATTGCATATTAAATATAAGGCATGTTATTTATCAAAGCACCATTACAACTCTATTATAACGTAAAAATATAAAAGAAAAATCCATTTTCTTATTAAAGAGGCTATGGCATAGGCCTTTGGCATAATTTAAAATTGATAAAATTGAATAGCGTGAGTAATGCAAATATGAAGATTAACTCGCCAGTTTTAGCATTTTAACAAGGAATTATCTAGAAATGCATTTTTCTTGTTCTTTTTTTTTATATATGTTTTTTATATTAATCTAGATTAACGATTTTCAGCTCCCTTCGCTCATGAATTTAACTTTAATTTTGATGTAAAAATTAAAACTATTCGAAAGGAAATAAAAATTCAGAAGCATTACCTTCTCGCTGGCAAAATAACCACTGGAGAGGTTCGAATTTTCAAGAAACTTTTCATACTTTTCTAAGTATCGGGGAACATCTTCTTGCATCATTTGTTTCAAAAGTGTGACCTAAAAGTAAATTATATAAAACTTAATTTATGGTTGTCAAATTTATCTTATGGTTGAAATTAAATGCAATATAAATATGACACTCATACATCCTCATGCAACGTGCACGTAAATGACAGATGTAGTAACTGTTTCCATTGCCATTCAGAGAGCATTAAATTCAGATGTAAGTGATTATTCCATTTCGTTATTAATAAACAATTTTATTTACAAATTATACAAGCATCATTATTAGGCATAACGCCTTCATTATTATTAGGCTTAGCCTCTTCGTTTTTCCATCAAACTAAATTTAAGTTACAGAATATCAACAGAGACAAGACGCTCGGAGCGCCAACCTAACGGTTGCTTAGCTATCAATTTATAACTTTTATTAATTGTGAAATTATCAGTAATTTAAAAGTGTGAGTGACACTAAGTCTAAAGTGGAGCTATTTATTTACAGTTGAAATTCTTAGAAGTGTAGTGAATTAAGTTAGTTATTTCAGCAACTTCAGGGTCTTTAACCCAGTGGGACTGAAATTTAACTTTACATTTTTGTGCGTCGAAAATCTGCCTTTCTGCCCTCTGGCCGGATTGTCAATTTTTGTATAAAAAGTCTAATTTTAATTGTAAAAATTGGTTTTTGTAACTTCATGTTTTAGATGTTTCTGTATTTTACAATTTTTAACGAAGATGTAATAATAATAACAAGATACAACTGTCAAATAAAATAACTAAATATGACATCGTTGCTGAATTTTCTAAAATGTTACGTTTGTAGTAATTACATTTAATACGTATCTTGTCAGTAAAGTACATGGTTTATTTTCTCATTTAAAACATCAGAAAATGCTTTGTTGGCAAGTATGAAAAGTCGCCAAATATTTTCGCTAGTTTCGAGCCTAGAGAAAATGAGATAATCTTACGTCTTTAACTATAAACAAAAGAATATTTAAATTCTTGAAGAAACAGTTAAAGAAAAGTATCGCAACCTCATTCGTAGAAAAGAAAAGTACTGTTAATCCCTCGTATCACTTTGATAAAGTAATTTTCCCAGTTTGAATTCAGAAAACAATAGTATAACACGTCAATGATTAAAGTTTTGATTTGTTATTAGTTAAAAAAATATTAAATTTATATTAATATATTACATACATAAGGAGAAAAAGTTAGACTCATTAAACAAGAAAAAATTTTGTTTCCAAGTGACCGTATACGTTTTTATAGCTCAGATTATATATTTTATTTAAAATGAAAATAAATAAAAGATACAGTTATTTATTTACGTAAGACACTGAGGTAAATAAATAAATTAATATGGTCACCACATGAGTTCCTTGTGTGGCCCATTAAATTATACAATTTTTTTGCCGCACTTCATTTAAACTTTTATTTCGTCGAATATCACCAGAGATATACTTCTCATGCTATCAATTGTTCTCATTTCGCAACATGGAAAAATGCATAAAAACAGAGAACATCTTCATTAAAAATTGTAAAATACAGAAACATCTAAAACATGAAGTTACAAAAACCAATTTTACAATTAAAATTAGACTTTTTAGACAAAAATTGACAATCCGGCCAGAGGGCAGAAAGGCAGATTTTCGGCGCACAAAAATGTAAAGTTAAATTTCAGTCCCACTGGGTTAAAGACCCTGAAGTTGCTGCAATAACTAACTTAATTCACTACACTTCTAAGAATTTCAACTGTAAACAAATAGCTCCACTTTAGGCTTAGTGTCACTCACACTTTTAAATTACTGATAATGTCACAATTAATAAAAGGCATAAAAACCTTAACCGTAACTTAAGAACAATGTAATTCAATCACTTTATAAGGTATTTCTCCCACTTCCCTAGCGTGCCTTCGTGGTGTAACGGTAGCACGCTGGGCTGGTATTCCAGAGGTCCGTGGTTCGATTCCTGGCGGAGGGAATTTTCATCTTTTCTGCTTCCAATTAACCTAATGACTCTACAACTTTTAAAGCAAAAAATGTACAATTTAACAATATATAAGAATGAAAAAAAAAAAGAACTCACCGAGCCTGGTAAGAGAGTGGGTATATATATATATATGCTTGGTGAGGCTGATAGCAACAAAAAAGAGAGATGCACAACTAGATGTATAGTAGTCCCATATGCAAAATTTCAGCGTTTTAGAGTTATGCGACTTGCTTACATACGTATGTATGTACAGGCATCACAAAATAAACTATTTCTGAATCCATTTTAAATTCGTTTTACCGTTGCATTTTTCAAAGATAGAGTCCTTTGGTACTTTATTCTGTCCTTTGGTACAGATGTCAGGGAAAAAATCATTCAAATGGGTTGGAAAGTGGTCAAAATGGATATTTTTGTTAAAATATTATAAATTTTTCGCGATTACAATACTTCCTTTGTTTCGTACAAGAAATTAAAGATCTTCCTTGTCAAGTTATAACAACGGAAATCTGTGAATTGAATACGTAACTATGCTGCCAAGAAAAGTTTTCTTAGGGATTGCAACGTTTGGCAACTTCTCAAGCTAGCAAGAAAATTTTCTTTTTTCGGCGTTGTTAATGGAAAGCTTCAAAACGGGTATCAATTATTTATTTTTTTATATGCCTTTTTTTAATAAAAGCTATTTTATATTTTTTCTTTTTTAAATGGGCATACTACACAAATAACAGTAAAATAAATAACTAAATCTGAAATCAATGCTTAATTTTCTAAAATGTTTCATTTAATATAATCGAATTTTATATGCATTATGTTGGTAAAAGACGCGTAACAATTACTTTACGTATTTATATACCATGTATTAACACAAATAAATAAAAACAATTTTTAAATTTATTCTCCTTTAAAATATTTTGCATTATAATGTGCATATTTGTCTATGTCGAATATTTGCCAATGTCGAGTCCCTTCGCCTGATTGCATGTATAATGCATACTGTATATCTAAACATTGTTGTTGCTACTTCATATGAGAAGACACACACTCTGAAAGAAACACTCAGGCGCAAGCTTTAAAATTGAGTTACTTATTATCTCGAACGTTAGTATAAGCTTTCGACGTATGTTCACTATAAACAAATACAAGACGCACGAGATTTTTATACGTAAAGAGTAAAAATTTTTTATAAAGGTTAAAATAACAGTATAAAATCAAATGAAAAATTAGTAAGTGTGATAACTGAAGTACAGTATTTACACTGGACTGCGGTTTTAGTTAATACACAAAAGTAAAACAGACATATATGTCTGTATCTTAGTAGCAACAAAGTGGGCATATGAGCGTTTATGAACGATTACTATATACGTTTTATAAAATATATAATATTTCGATGGATCTTTTAATTTCGTTGCTTAAGAGAACGCATCTTCACTTTTTCAGTCTATTTTCATATGTACAAATAATATTTACCGTAATATTTACATGGTAATTATAATATTTACACGATAACATTACTTTTGACTATATCAATTAAGGCAAATTGAAGTCCAAATGGAAATGCAGGGTAAGGGTAAGTCATTGTGCGTGGTTTATGATAAATAGCAAATGATATGCAGAATATATCCAACTGCATTACATGCACCAATTTAGCATTTTTCGAAAATTTAAAGCATTTCGGAGAATATTCCTTTTGTAGCCCACTTATTATTCTAAACTGTATTGTCTCTGGCCATGTACCTTTCAAAATTTAGTGTGTTATTGTTCTAAAATCTTCTGTAATTTGTTGTTTAATAAGTTCAACACTGATACTAAATTTGGCCAAATCACCATGACCACTTTCATACTCTATACACAAAGAAATTTAGCAATTATTTTTTCCCGTCTAGCTAACCAGGAAACGGATCTACATAACACCTATAATTTTTTTTACAGTAGTAATCGCAAAAAATTGTGTTTATGCAATTAGATTATAGTGTTATTTTAGACTGACTGATCTAGAACCAGTGTTCTGGTTTGCATAGAATCTTAACGCGAATGTCCTCCCGAAATTACTTGACTGACAAGCGATTTATTGCTTCAGGGAGAATTAAGATGACTAAGTCTTACGAAGGTTGAAATAACGCTTTGTCTTAGAAAAGAAAGATCGAGCTTTACTGATCAAGCAGTATTAGAACGGCAGTAATTTTCAACTGCACATAGAGAATATGAACGCTTGAGAGGCTTTCGAAAATAGCCTATTTCAAGACAGGGTATGAAATAGATGATTTCTAAATTTCAAGAGAGTGGGGTGTTGTCTGTGCTGCGAGGAAGAGGACGGAAACGGATGTGAAATGAAACCGTGTATGAAGTCTCTCTTGCCGTGGCCGAGAGAGCACCCAGTTCCCAATGTTCTTCAACATGTGCTCTAGCACATGTTGAGTGATTTACCTCTCACATGGTCGACAGTATGAAGTGTTCTGCAATCCATTATAAAGTGGTATCCATACGATATCCAAGTTCTGCAAGAACTGCATGCTGCAGACCTGTACAAACGGCAGTGGATTTGTTAGCCTTTGTTTTGCCAGAATAGCCGTTGTCAATGCATGGCCTCATGGTCTTGGAACATTTTGCGGTTGAGCGAGTTGCATTTTACCCTAGACTAAGTTCTTAATACTGAAACTGTAGTACATAGGATTCTGCAACCTTAATGTTATGCTCAAATGGTCTCTGCATCCTAATTAAATTACTGTATATGGTGGTTTAACTGTTGATTTCACTGTTGATCCATTTTTCTTTGAGGAGTACACTCCTCAAAGAATGTGCACTCAAATGTGCTCCATAACGGTGCCCATTACTGCGAACGTCTTCATTACTGCCTTACAAGAACGAGAATGTTTACAGACCAATAAGTTCATGCAAGATGGTGCACCACCTCACATTGCAGGACTAGTAAAGGCAATGCTTCGTACCCAAGTTTCAGATGATAGAGTAATTTTGAGAAGTTTTCCGACTGCTTGGCCGCCTCCTACTTTGGACTTGAATCCATCTGATTTGTGAGGATTCCTGAAATCTATGGAGGAAGGATGCGGATTATGCCTGAATTTAAAGCAAGCGTAACCGCATGAAACGTCATGTTCCTACCAATTGATCGAAAAAACCTTCGCTTTTCTGTTGAAAACGTTATAACGTGCTCTGAATGCGTGAATGACGCAAATGAGGCGTATATTGAGAAATTCTGACGTGAACCCCAATGACTTTCTTCTACGGCCTATTAAAATATATGCATTATTTTAACTGTACATCATTTAAACTTGTTTCTTCACACATCATTAGAGATGTATTTCTCATTCAACTAATTCCATTCTCACTTCTTAGCAAAGCAGAAACACATAAAAATTCAAACTTCTACTTTAAAAATGGTAAGATACAGAAAACATAAAGCCCTAAATACAGTTAAAAACAGCTAAAAAAAACCGATTTTTACAATTTAAATTAGAGTTTCTACGAAAAAGCAAGTAATTCGGTCTGCGAGCAGGAAGATAGAATTTTCGGTGCTCAAAACTGAAAGTTTACTTTTGGTCCCACTCGGGAAAAAAAAAAATCACACTGAAGTTATTGTAGAAATTGATTTAACTCACTATTCTAGTAACAGCTTCAAATGTAAACAAATTCGGGTTTATTAGGCTTAACAGTACTTTAACAACTTTTAAATTGGTGATAATTCTACAACCATTGCATGCACATTAACTAAAGGCATAAAAACCTTAAGCGCGATATATCAACAACATAATTCAATAACTTTTAAAGCAAAAAATGCACAATTTACTAACATATAAAAATAAAAACTAAGCTCACCGAGTTGGGTAATAGAGTGGGTGTATATATATATATATTATATTATATGTAGTATATATTGCGGCAAATTGCAAGAAAAAAGAGGGGTGTACAACTACATGTTACAGCTGTCATATATAGAAAATTTCAATGTTCTAAGGTTACTTGTTTTTGAGTTTTGCCAGATACATACACACGTACCGTACGCGCCGACGCCACCAACAAATCTCTTCTGAATCTATTTCACAATCCACTTTGAAAAAATGTATCCTTTATTATGTCCATACACAAACATGTCACGAAAAACATCATTCAAATGGAAGTGAGAGAGGTCAAAATGAATGTTTTCGAACAAATATGATACCCGAAATTTTCGCGATTACAATGTTTTCTTTTATTTCGCACAAGGAAGTAACAATGCTGTGATTAAATAAAGCGTCGCATTTCCAATTCGTGTTTTTTATTCCTTATATGCTCTATTCTCACCTGGTGGTCCAAATTTGAATTAATTCCTTGTCCATACAACGCACACACCAAGTTTCAACGAAATAGGTCTACCAGAACGGGTTCTGCGTAGTTCTAAATAGGGTGACTTAAATTATAACAATCCAGAACTCTATTTTAAGGTTACCTGCTGTGAAACGTCCAACTTTGAGATATGGGTTCCTCTCATTTTTGAGAACATGACACCTAATCCGTCCATGATCATGTCACATATGGCAGCTTCTTCATTGGTTTCACCTACCAGATCTGCAACGAAGTAAGATATTTCTTTGAAGAGATTTGTTTAAAGTAGATATTAAAAATTCCTAAAACTATGAAAAAGTTGAGCTTATGTCTACATATCTGTAGTATATTTAATCTAATTTGCAAGAATTTTTTTAAGAAAAACATTTCTTTCTTTAATAAACAAAATCTTCTGTTTTTTTGTATTAAATAATCATTCTAATTTTTTGGCAGTTTTGCCCTTCTAATTATTTACTTTTATTTCTACCGTGGAAAGAATCATAATAAGAAAAGAAAAACAATTTTGCCATTATTAAAACACTTGAAATGCAAACACAAGTTACTTTTTTTACAGTTTTACAATTAAAAACATGAGAGTTGTGCAAAATTTATCCAATATATATTAAAATTTAGAAGTAAAATTGTATACGAGCTAAATTCTAGAACGTGATGAAGTTTATTGTATAAATGGTTTTTAAGAATTTAAAGCCATTCGCTAACATTTGGCGGCTGTAGCAGAAAATATATTTTAACATGCATGTTTTCTATGAAAACTATTTAACTATGAAGTATGAAACAAATTATATTAGTTACTTAAATGTTTAAAATTTTCCAAGAAAATTACCTGCCACTGGAATATAAATTGGGAATTAAAAAACAAAAATATCATTTGAAAGCAGTTTATATGAATATTTGTCAAATGGAAAATGAAAATTATTCATTTCCTGATTTCTGTTTTATTTGCGCTTAGAAATATTTTCTGTTTTGATATTTGTGCTTCCCAGATATAGTATCAAAAGAACTAACCGAAATTTATTAACTATTATTAATAATATAACTTGGACAATTTCTTGGGAAATTATTTTATTTAACTTTTCTTGCTTAAGGTAGAATACTAAAATAAAATTGTATATTATTAAAGAAAACTCACATTTCTAAGCTAATTTAGTATTTAAAATTGTCTTAGCACTTTTCTGTGTTTCTCTTGACTTTCATTTATGTTATAAAGTTGATTTTGTAACGATTTATTAAGATTTACCTAATTCCCTTGCAAGGTACCTTGAAATACCTTGCTGTTGACTCACAATTTTCCCATCGACGTATAGAACAGGTAAAACTCCAAATGGAGACTCTGAAAATATAGGAGTTAAATTAGTACTTATTAAAAAAATTTAAAACAATATAATTACGTAGGAATTTTTCCCAATCACAGTGTTCTTAAAACGAAAATATAGTACTTCTTTGGGAATTAGTATCTCACAGCCTTTGCAAAATTAGAATAACATGTTTTGTAACAGCAGAAAACAAGTTGAAAAGCATACAATATATTTATTTAAAAAGGACTACTTTTCATATTTTTCTTATTCAATCGTACAGAACAATTCGATTAAATTAAGCTTAAAAACTTGATCTAAGTCTACAAAAGAATCCAATTTCATTTTAAATCTCTTTTTTCAACAATAACAAGGAAAACAGATTCATGCATTTTAGTACTGAAAAAAATTACTAATATAAAATGAGTAAGTAATTATCTCACAAGGAAGACTAAGGCAGCTTGCAAAGAGAAAAAAATCACTAAAATAGGAGTGTTATGATTTGAACAGAGATATATCTGGATTTCATGAATCAGAGAAAAAATTCAGTGCTAAAACTCATTTCCAGAATAATTTTTACGAAATTACTATTTTTGCCTTGTTAAGCAGTTTTTTAAAAAAAATGTATTTACCGTTTTGCTTAGTGTTGCGTAAGGAAAAAAAATGGAATTATAAAATTATTTAGACAGAAGATAAATTTCAGTTTCTTTCCCTGTGCTTGCTTTGAAACAGTGCACAATTAGTGCTTACCTTTGAGCATTTAGAGGTAATATTTAGTTGTAATAAACAGCTAGTTCCAATCGTTAACCAAGAAATTTCCTTCATTGTGGAAAAGATCGATAGCTTTCCTAAGAGAGTTGACAGAACTGTTCATAAATGCTTAATAAGAAGTGATGATAAAATGCATCGACCAAGAGTGACTAATCTATCATGTTCAATGAAATGAAGGGAGGGACCTTTCGAGAATATGTAAACAGAGTAAACGATGTCAAGGATATAAAAAATTGAGTTAGGAACATCACATTAAGTTGCGCAAAATGGATTCATAGGATAGTAAACGTTCGAAGATTAAGGTGAACTTCTCTGATAATTCGTTCAAAAATTGTTTTTATCTTTGTAGATTAAATATTTAGGGCGAAGAGATTAGCTAGAAGCACTTGTTTTGCTCATAAGCAAAGAAATGTTAAATCGTTAAATCTTTTTAATTAGATACAAATTTTTAAATTTTGAATTTATTTTTGACTTTAAATAAAGAATTTAATGTTTTGTTGAGTTCCAAATTAAAGGTACATTATCTGAATACTAAAAATTAATATAAACCTTTCTTGGTGACCACCTTTGACAGTCATCAGTAAATCTGAGACCAGAAGTAAACACTAGAAAATCACTGATTGTCACTTCCTTTAAAGTGATTAACTCCTCAAAAGACAAAAAAAAGTCGTCTGGAACTCTCAGTGGTCACCTTATGAGGTTTCTCTCTCTCTCTCTCTCTATATATATATATATATATGCCCGTGTCTTAGGTAAGAAAAATGTAAAGCAAATTTCAATTTTAATTGGCAGAAATCTGTTCATATGCCATTTTAATTTAGCCATTTTCCTTTCTCTGCCTTAAAAATAGTACGGTCTTACATAACGCTGTTAACTTGGCTATGCTTTAGCCAATCATGAGGTTCTGAAATCCCAAATCTTTTGCAAATCGTAACCTTCTGACTTTCTCCCATGCCTTTCTTTTGAATGCGTAATACTTTTCTCTTGCTTTGCTTACTTCTTGTTAACGTGTTGTCGCTTTTCTCTCCATTTCGTCTATTCTATTCATCTTAAGATGTAGAAGAGGTACAAAAATACGATAAAGAATGGGTGGAAATTGCGTCCATAATGATATGGAAATAAGAATAGGTTCCTAAAGAGCTATTTTGTCTGGAAATAAAGTGTTTGAAATTGTCTCTACAAATGCATCTGAATCCAAATACGCAATCACGCATTCTACATGCCATTACAATCTATATTCATCGGCTATAACTGAAGTACATTCCTACTAAAAAAAGCAATAAAAGGAAAACACGGAATAAACTAAATCCAATTGGATCCAAGAGGTTTTTGTAGCATTATTACACCACATAGCAAACAATAAAACAAAGAAATACAAAACCACGTGCATTACGATCATCATATTGCAAAAGACCAAATGGGTCTGAAGAGTGTGCAATGGAAACATCACGCTAATAACGGGTATGATACCCCCTAGCTGAAATACATGCTTGATAATAGCGAGGCAAGTTGACAATATTATCGTTTATAGCTTGTTGTGACGGTTAGTTCCCATTCTTGTCGGAGCTATGCCGCCATGTCGGAGCTCGTTGAAGGTTCCTGGCGGCACAATTAAAGGACGCCCAAGAGGGTGTAGAATTTTGCCGTGATATCAGACGTCTGTGACGGAACCAACAGGAACAATAAAATAAAGACATACAAAACCATGTGCATTATGATCATCATATTGCAAAAGACGAAAATGGGTCGGAAGAGTGTGCAATGGAAACATCACGCTAATAACGGGTATGATATCACCTAGCAGATGAGACCGTTCATTGCTCTCGCAGCCCATTACAAGTAAGCCTCCTCCTCAGTAATAGTCTCTTTCAACGATGTTTGGCGCCCGATAGTTTACCCCTGGATCTCGCCATATCACTTCCCTTCTGGAATCTTTCTGGATGTTAAACCGGGACTCTTACGTAAAGAGTATATGGCCCCACTGCTCTGGCGTCCAATTACGATGTTCACGAGTCCAGTTAGACAGCTCTCTGACATGCGATGGAAAGAAAGGAACACAAACCATAAGTCATCAGGTATACAGTCCACCTTCATGTAGTGGACGGATACAGTTTGAAGGGATATCGGCCATCCTCCAGCAGCAAGGAGATGCGACGCCAGCTGTCTTGCTGTTAGTGATCTACGGCATCTTGCATATAGCAATAGGAGGCAATCGTATGCCGTTGTGGTAATCTTCTGGCGTCCAGATCTATGTCTTCTGCAGGGTTTTTTTATGCCTTTGGTAATGATTTCACATCCTGTTGATGACACTACGATGCACATTCAGCTCTCTTGCAACAGCGGATTGTCTTGCACCAGCTTGCAACATCCCAACAACACTCCAACGTATTTCATTGGGCAGATGGTGTCTTAGGTTCATGCTTTCCACTTGGCTATCTTGGATTACATGGAACTATTACTGCTTGCGAACTGATACATAGGTTTTGCATGATACATAGGTTTTGCATGTCATTGTGGTGTGATTGCGGGATTGCTTTTTATGCCAATTTTGTTTGCCTATCTGCCTTCGGCGATGCAACTTTACCTCTACGTTTTAATTCCCCTTTTTACATTCGTACCTTTTTTTTTACAGTTTGATGCGTAGTTTTTGAACACATGTACATTTGTATCTTCTCTGGCATCCTATGTTATCGCATATATGTATATATATATATATAAGTATTATTTTCAAATCTTTAACCATAATAATTTAGATACTTTTGACACGTAGATGCACAGGCACGGCAAATTCAGGAATTTTTATTTCTTGACAAAACAAATCTTTTGTTTTAGACAAACATTCTCGACAGAGGCACAGATATAATTGCACTAAGTGGGCCCATTCTTTAAAGAACTTTTATAGTTTTAATTCTTGAAGAAACAAAATGCAGCAATGGAGAGGAAGTGTGGAGGCCACATAATCAGAGAAGGGAATGCGTACGTTTTAAATGAAGATTTGGTTAAATCTGACCCAGTTCGATTTGTTTGGCTGTTTGAGATTTATTTCGAAAAATTTAAAGTTATTATTGACTAAAATGTTATGCAAGTGAATGCCCCATTTGCTTTATGTATGTGTCATGCATGAAGGATTAATTTCCCGCATGACGAAATTTAAGTATATTTATTATAAACAGTTACTAATTTTATAAAGGAAAAGGGAAATGAACAAAAATAAAATAAAATAATCTGCTAAGGGTTAAAGGCTGCCGCAAATTAAAATTTGAATTTTGATTTCTCCCTTTTCTTACTTTTTCTTACATATATATAGACGGATAGACAATTTTCTTATTTACACCAAGTACCACATTAAAATTGTTTTCTTATCACATGAATCAAACTCAAAATGTAGATATCGTTTATTTTATTGAAGCTTGCTTTGTGCCGTTTCACATTTACGAAAGACCTAGCTGATTGAACTTCCTCAGTTTACGGAAGAAACTCGAAGAAAATGAAGTGAAGCCCTTCAACTCGTATTTTATGCAAAGTTTGAAGAAAAATATGATTTTAAATATAAACGAACACACGTTTTAAGGCAGTTCCGACAGATACATGATTGCTTATGAAGAACTTCATGATAGATACAGCCTATCTGTCTAAACAACAAAGCATTTTGTCATATTTGAAGCCTTGCATATCAGCCGAATATGTTGAGACAATTAGACTTTTGATAGTGGGGCAGGCAGACACAGAATATATTGAGGAATGCATACACAATGACCTGAAGGACACAAATGTTAATCTCTTTTTCTCAGTACAAAACTTCACATCTCATGTAACCGAATCGCTGATGATTCACGTTTACATACTATCATCATTGACACACCAATAAGCCTTCCACAGTTTTAGTGCTTCGGATTCGGAAAATTAAACTTTATTTTACGTTGCTGTTTAAAACTTTGGAATTAATTTTACTGATGTCTAACAAAAAAGCGTTCACTGAAAAAGGACGGGACTGTTGCAGTTTCAACGGACGTGAACTACTTAGATTATCGATATGGTTCTAATGTTAATCCTTGATCTCTCTCTTTTTCCAGTTGCTTTGATTTAAAGAGATTCTAGTAAAGTGTAAAAAAAATAATAATTGTTTCTCAAATATAGTTTGTCAAACTATTGTCTGAGAAATAAAATTTCAAGGCTCTATGTATTTTTTATATGGTGCTGTTTTTCGAACGTTCGACAATGCTCAAAACCTTTTCGTATGAAAATTGGCTGTAGATGTTTTTTCGTTTTGCGGCATCTTGGTTTACAAAACCTCTTCTTTCACAATTTTTTGTAGTTTTTCGTTTTTTTTTTTGTGATGCATTGTTTATATAAATGTACATATTTTTATAAATGTTAATCATTTAAAATGAGAAAGTAAAGTACTTTCTGCTGTACTTTGACTCAAAGAAAATTTCTTTCAAAGGCTTATCAGAAGTAAGCTAGCATAGTGTTAGGAGAATTCGAAATTTTTGCATATGGAGCTCACTGCAACGTTCGCTGAAGAACTATAAAATTGGCGAGCTGAGACGAAATTCTGTGCCATTCCGAGATTTTCTCGCAGCATGCAACCGAGCCCCGGTTTGAGAGGATTTTGTTACACTGTTTCATATAGGTATTTTAAAGTTTTATTTTATTAATTACTTTTAGTGCTTCTAAAATTCTCAGCTTTGTTTTTCATTCTCAAGCTGAGCAGTTTTTTTAATATTAAATATAAAGTTGCTAGTTAATACAATTTGCGATCCTTTTACTTGAACTGATAGAGCACTTGTCATGCTCATTGATCACAACTTCGAGATTCGAAGAGTAAACCCTACTTCGGACTATAAAACGTGTTTGAAACACATATTGCATCCCATGGCTTCTTATGACTTCGAAAGATCACAGATTATTACTTTAGTAAATTAATAGCTCTCTATTTACTTTCCTGACTTTTTTTTAGATTTTTAAGCATACCTTTTTGGGGAGGGTATGAATTCGAGAATTTTACATATGTACTCAAGCACAGCAAAAAAGATCTGGAACACAGAAAAAATATTCTATGAAATTACTACTAAGCAATTTGTTTTCAATAAAGCACATGCAGCAGGTAATATATCTAAAATCACAGTCCAAAAGTACCGAACAAAACTAGAAAGTATTTTATTAAAAACTATTATAAATTTCCCCAGTTAATAATGGATAACTATCTGACATAAAGAAAGGATATAAACAGTAAAATAAGAAATTGATTCTGGAAACGAAACAAAATTAAATCAAAAACAAAATTTACAATGAATTGATAATTCTTTTGATTTTTTTCAAGGAGCAGCCATGTTCTTTAATATTATTTAACACTGTGTTACCTTAAATAGGCCGTACTATCAATTCAAATTTCACACAATCTTTATCCTAATCCTGTGTCATAATTAAATATGAAAAAAATATGACAAAAGAGTGAAGTAGCTTATTTAAATTAAGATTTCATTAAAAACATTTCCTCCTTCTGTCTGTTAACTGAGATTATATTCTGTTCTTTCTTTAAACTCTATCAGAATTGCTCTGTATAAGTTTAAAAAATAAAAAGTGGATTTTGTTAGCAATGGAAATGTATTTCACAGTTTTGTGAACAATTTACCTTCTTCTGCTTCGTAAATCCTGTCTGGGGAATCTACTTTTTCATCTTCGTACTCGATTTCTCTGTACTGAAGGATGAGCCTGGCTAATTCACCAGCTGTAGGATAACTATAATCGACTATCTTGTAATGAGGCATTGTCTATAAAGAAACATTTGTTGAAGAGTATAAAAAGAAATAATTTTATATTTATTGAGAAAAATTGAATTTCATGCATGCAAAGAATTTTTAATACTCTCTTTAGACTCATTGTCTAATTTTAAAACTAATTAATACTAAAAAAGTATTAAATTTTGCAACAGACAGAAGTCTTACAGAGAAACATCGCATAATGCTTTTAATTAAACTGTTAACTAATACTTGTTAAGCAGAATCTTGTTAAGAAAATGCAATATACAAAAGAAAGACTTATAATTATTCAAGAATCAGTGTAAATTTGGAATCGGTATTCATAATGTTCATGTTACAGTAAAAAGACAAGAAAGCTAATAAAAAAATGAAGTGTTAATTTAATAAGGTATTTCTCCCGCCTTCTCAGCATACTTTCGTGGTGTAGTGGTCAGCACGCTCGGCGCGTATTCGAGAGCTCCGTGGTTCCAGTGCTGGCGACAGCATTGCTTATAAATCATTACTCCTGCTTTCAAAATATCCTAATGTCTCTACAGTGGTGCCCGAACTAAAAGGGAGGTAGATGATGATATTCCACCACCAGGATTGGGAGATTGGGTTCCCTAATCCCCAATCGCCTTTTAAAAGGGTAGATTTCTCCCGCATTCTTAGCATGCCTTCGTGGTATAATGGTAGCACGCTAGGCGCGTAGTCGAGAGGTTCGTAGTTCGAGTCTCGGCGAGTGCATTCTTTCATGACCTCTGTTAAAAAAAAACGAAACAAAACTTAATGTCTCTATAAGTGTTTGATTAAACAGCGCTTGTACAAAAAATTAAGTAAATATGTCCAAATAGATTAAGAGGTTCAGCTTTTTCTAACCTTCTCTCTCGTTTTTATTGCAATTACTGCATAAAAGAAAATTTTACCTTCATTAAAGTCTCATTGAAGAAAGAGTTTAACAGATCTCTGTAATAAAATATATTAGCCTATAAATATAACCTATTGTTCAAAACTAACAGTATATTTAATGGAAAATCCAGGTTATATGTTAACGAACATCAATGCTTCAACAGTTTTTCTTCAATAAAATATCTGCACATTTCAATACCTCGTAGAAAAAGCTCTTTGAGGGGTTATTGTTTTCTGTTTTGATAAATCCAGCTCTTTGATAAACAGATATCTTTGTTGATAAAAGTTAGATATGAATTTTTTTTATCCTCGATGTTATTCAAATGTATTGAGCAATACAGCATAAATCAGTTATTTAAATAATTATTTCAGCTGGATTTTTTAATAACAGTTTGCAAAAAGCATTATTTTATACCATGAATGTCATAAATAAAATGGTTTTATAATACCTAAAAAATCGATTCAAAATCTATAATTTCTGTCAACCATCATCTGCATCTAAATAAAATATAATGGTTGTAATGCAGTTTGTTAGACTGAGGCAGATTGCAAACTTCTGTATATAATACTTCTTTTGTACACATTTCTTAATATTTCGATAATCTTCTGCTTATTTTACGTTTCAAAGAGGAATGCATAAATAACCCTCCGAACTATTAAAATTGAAATTCTATTCTAGTTCGATTACAATTTTCTTCAGTGCTAAGGATTTAATGCTAGAAACAGTAATTTTTTTTTTTTTTAAATTTCAGAAAAGAAAAGAAATAGCATTATGATTTTTTTAAATATTTTTAAACTTTTCTTACGCTTTTTCATTTCTTAAAGCTTAAAATAAACTTTTACCTTTTTTTTTAAGTGTTATTTTGTAGGGTTTATATTTACTTTAATTAACATTTATTTTAAGTTTAAGCTATCTTTCCTGTCAAGCCTTTACTTTCCTCTAGAATTGCCAATGCCAGAGTATGTAAAATCGTAGTAGAGTGCGCAGTATATTCAAATTTTAGCAGAAGAAATTTGAGTTTAAATAGAAGGGAAACGAATTTGTAAGTGTGCTTCTTGAATCGTGAATGTGAAGGTTTCTAGGTAGAAATTTAAGAACCGCGCGTTCGGCCTGTGTGCCCATCTCGGCAGTTCGCTGAATATTTCAACTGCTTAATCAGTAAGCTCGCTGAATCTCAGCTGTATTTTGGAACGCGGTTAAGTTAGTTACGATTTCAGAGCCTCGTAGGTAGTGATCTAGTTATTTATTCCTCCTGTCATTTAATTTTTAGTTTCACATTTCTGTTTTTGTTAAACCGCCGGGTCGGCGTAGTTTGTGAACGTCAAGTGAACGCAGCTGTTATTTCTAAAGTGGAATAAAAAAGGGCTTTAAACCCTTCTTACGTGTTTGTGTAACTTTACAGTTTATAGCAGTCACTACCACAGTTGCTGACAAGTTGGGGCCACGCAATACTACAATATAATGAACTGAAGTTTTCAGATGGCAGAAGTTTCAGCCTGGGAAGATGCGATGCAGTACAACCTAAAAACAACTTGCGCTAACTTCAAGTAACCTAACTAAATAGCAATAAATATATAAAATGATAACTGGCTTGTTTGACTATGGAACAGCAAGTAAAGACTATCTGCTTAAAGGAAAGAATGTTTTCTTCGAAGACTTTTCTGTGGAAAATTGATTAATATCTATCTTACATATGACGAAAAATCACGAAAATGCCGATGCAAACAACCCTTTGAACCCGGGTTAAACTTTTAGGTTTCAACGATTTTAACCACTCTGCTGGTGAATCTACAAAACGAGAAATGATATTTTGTCCCCCAAACGGCGGGCGCTATTTTTGTCTTTTTTCGACATTGGCCAATCCTAAGACCGTAAGTGGTGTCCATTTTATAGTGGGCGGCCACCGTTACCTCCTATGAACGAACGGACAGTTACAACAATGCCTTCTCTGGGATTCGAACCCGGCTCTTTGGTATCGTAGTCGGCTCCCCTAACCACAATACCTGCTGGGCGGCAAACGAGAAATGACATCATTTCACTCGCTCAGGCTCACGCATTTCAAATCCAAGTTTCTTTCTATGCGACATGGAAAAAGAGGATACTACAGAGAAAGCTTTAGAATGTTTAATAACTGGAAGAACACAACATCTAATACGAAGATAAATTTCTTAGCAACAAATCAGTATGGCTTCAAACCAAATTGTAGCGCTATTAACATAACAGAAGCTATAACCAAGCAAGACTGTAGCAATAAAGTAGAAAATAAACAGAGCGCAATCATAAGTAGGACTTGAAATATTCATTTCCTTCCTTATAATGGCCAGCACTTATGAATGCAATAGCTAAAGCTGGCTGTCCAAAAAGTATATATTGGCTCATTAAGGATTACTTCAAAGAAGGAAAAAGCATCTTAATTTAAAATAATGCAGTTGTATAAAGGATACAATCAACAGGTTCTCCGCAGTGGTTGTGCCTCAGTACAGACTCCTGAAAAATGGCGTTTAATGAAATTCTCAAAGCATCTTCCGTCGGTATCAAAATTTATACTTATGCAGATGACACAGATCTGATAGTGAGTGGACTCTTCAGACAGATTTTACAACGAAATGGTAATGAAACTCTTGAAATTTTCCACACAAGATGCCAAAAATAAAAGTTAATTATCTCGCAAGAAAAATCCAAAGCAATAATTTTTCATAGACCAGGATAAAAAATTAATAGTTGGCAGAGTATTACATAATCCATGCAGAATTGGTTACCAACTCAGAAGTTTAAGGCCTTTGAAGATATTAATTGCATTGTGCTTTTTAGGAAGCCGAAGCTCTTACCCATTGTACATAATAATACTTGCATACTTACTAATACATAATAATCTAACAATTTAAAACTGACACATAAAAGCCATTGCAGGCCCTCGTCATTTGCGACTATAAAAGCGTGCGTGTCGTCAGTCAGCGCAAAGCGGTATTTTTTCTATTTCATCTGAGACTATAGTTTAAACGGTCTTCATTCGCGCGCTTTTCAGTAAACAAACATGCTAATGGAGGGGGAAAAAATAGGCGACACAAATCGTCTGCTTCAGCTGTCGTTCCTACGGTTATGAGGCAAGTAAGGCGGCGAAAGATAACCTTGAATTTACTATTTAAATTAAAAGATTAAAGACGTGAATACTAATTCCGATTAAAAAGAACTAAGTGTAAACTACTATTATTTCCATTCGTGATTATTAAATTTTTTCGTTCTTTTCAGCTTTTCCGAACTTTAATTGAAGACCTTTAATTTTTTAAAGACATTTACTTAGCACAAAAGTCATGGCTCAGTCTTTCTGTTGAAATACATATCTTCCTCTAAAATACGTATTTGTTGTTAAGAAGAATCATTTTCTCAACATAATATGATCTTCTAAAGAATGGTTTCTGAATGTCCTGATTTTCGAAAAAATGAGGGTTAGAGGCTGGAAAAGAAGGGGGGAGGAAGGAGAGATAAAAGAAAAAAAATATAAAGGTGCTGTTCGATATCCTACTAACATAAATGAGGGGGGGGAGTTTAGAACTAGGAATGTTTCAGTTAGACTTGAAAAACTGCTGGAAAAAAAATTTAAAAACTTACAAGGGGTAAAATGGTAAAATAAAGTTTAAACTGAAGATATTATTCGTTCGCTATAGCTGTATAAAATGACATTAAGGGCGCTATAAGTTGTATAAGACCAAGATGTTCGTTCATTACATCCGGAGGTTTGTAATTTAAATGTGCAAAATACTTTCAAAATCCTAGAATTAAACTCTAGCAAATTTTTAAAATAGATCTTTTGAACCGTTTTAAATCACTATAAATCGTGTTTAAAGAATTATTTAACGTCTCTTTCCTTATATAATTGTAAATCGAGGAAAAAAAAAATCTGAAATGTTTCAGATTTTAAATTACGTCCAAAGGGGCGATTTTTAACATTTTGTGTGTTACCTTTCTTTATTAAATATCATGTTCCTCGCACTTAAACCATAAGTTCCAGTGCAACAGCAATATCGCAAAATAGTTTTAAAACGAGCATATCTTTAGAATTTCCGATACAGAGACTCACGCGCTGGAGATAAAAATGTTTTTTTCTGCACAACGTTGCCATTGC